GGTCCTTTTGATGGTAACTTTCATCATCCAGGCTAGTCTTTTCCCAGCCTGGCAACTTAGCAACTTGCAACCTTCACTGAATGGACTGTTGAGGGTTACAATGGACCCCCAAGTTACTTACGATCCACTTTCAAGGTCCCAATGGTTGACAAACACACGCCCCAACACACACAATGTAGTCATGGGATTGGCATTGCACAATGTAGTCACGGGATTGGGTCTGCATTTAAAACAACCATTGTGGCTGCAATTTATGCTGTTTAAACTGGTCTGGTTTCCAATCCAAACACCCACTGATTACAATGGGATCCCTTAACAACTGAGACATATAAAGACCGTGTTTAATGATCGTTAGCCCTCTCAATTCCTGGCAAATAGATGGGGAAGAAATGGAGGTAGTGACAGATTTTATCTTCCTGGGCTCCAAGATCACCGCAGATGGGGACTGCAGCCAAGACATTAAAAGATGCTTGCTCCTGGGCAGGAAAGCTATGGCAAATGTAGACAGCATACAAAAAAGCAGAGACATCACCCTGCCAACAAAAGTGCGTATAGTCCAGGCCATGGTTTTCCCAGTTGCAATGTATGGCTGTGAAAGTTGGACCATAAGAAAGGCTGAGTGCCAAAGAATGGAGGCCTTTGAACTATGGTGCTGGAGAAACGGGGACAGCTTTGATTTCCCCTAGAGTGGTACAGAATGCAAGGACCCTTCCAAATGGAACGCGCTGACTAAGACCACCCTTGCTCCTTCTAAAGCAAAAATCCCGCCAGCCTTCCTTGCAACTGAGCATCACCAAGGTGAAAGCTGGGCTTGTTTGGGTCCTGGACGGGTGGCAGTACAGTGCCAAGCCAACCTGGGTTGAGATGACAGGAGACTAAGTGGAATTAAGTTTGGCTCGGCCTATGTGAGACCGTGCCAGGGCTGTGGGCAAGATGGGAATATAAAGCAGCAGCAAGTGGCTGTAGAAGCCAGTTCCATGTCATGGACAAGAAAGCCATGAGGACAGCCCGATTGGAGGGAGTCTTTGCCTTTATTTGACACTTCTTTTAAGAAAGCACATCATTTCTCTGGAGGAGCTGCCCATGTTAGCTACGTCAGCCTTGGCTGGATCGCAAAAAAGGTCTTTTATCAATCCAGAATGGACCCGTATATAGCAAAACTGGGCCCATATCCAGGGGTCTCTGAATAGGACACAAATAAGCATCCCGAACCTTCCATTTTTTAGGAAATAGCCCAACTGTGTTTGATCCTGTCCAATCAACAAATGCTTCTCAGAGTTAAGTTGAATCCTATTAACTCAGCATGCATGTTGGACCCATTAGTTTCAGTTGGAATTATTTTCCGATTCTATTATTATAACCTTTGGATTAAAGCTGAAATTCCATGCTTCAGATTGGCAGGAGGGGTCAGTGCAAAAAGCCCATAAATTAACAAATTCAATTTGAATACAGGAAACTTTTGAACACCACTGAAAGATTCCTAGCTACATACACGCAATGAGCCCCAAATAGGATAAAACTAGTCATATAGAATCTTATTTGCTGTAATTGTCCCAAATTTGTATCGAGAATTGTTTATATTGACTACCGTATTAAATTAGGAAATGTCTTACTGTATTACAGGCAGTCCTCAGCTTACGACAGATCATTTAGTGACTGTTCAAAGTTGCAACGGCACTGAAAAAAAAGTGATTTATGACCGTTTTTCACACGACCTTTGCAGCATCCCCACGGTCATGTAATCAAAATTCAGACGCTTGGCAACTGACTCACACTTATGACAGTCGCAGTGTCCTATGGTCACGTGATCCCCTTTTGCGATCTTCTGACAAGCAAAGTCAATGGGAGAAGGCAGACTCACTTAACAACCGGGTTACTAACTTAACAAACTGTGGCAAGGAAGGTAGTTAAAACAGGGCCAAAGCTCGCTGAACAAATGTTTCATTCAGCAACAAAAATTTGGGGCTCAGATCTGGTCGTTAAGGCAAGGGCTACCTGCATTTCATTACGATAACGGCTAGTATTGTTTTTAGATGTTGATTTCCTGGTACTGTGCTTTGTCGTCAGGGCGTACTAAAGAAATCTACAGTGCAGTACACATTGAACAATGTGGTTTCAAAATACGTTTTAAAGAACCATGGAGTTTGCAGGTCATTTCATGCTGTGTTCCAGCCTTAATCCATCAAGGTCTGCCTTAATGGACTGCAATAGATACTGGCCTTCCTCAGCTGAAATTGTTTGGCTGGAGAATTCAGGGACTAGCCTGGATCTTTTGCAAGAAAAAAATAATAATAAACTCTGCCACTAAGCTATGCGCCTTCCCTGAAAAGATTTTATCTTTCCAATCTTGTTCCTCCATCAAAAAAGCTGCTGCTTCCTCATTTTTCTTTTGAATTCTTTGTTCCCCACCTCTCTACTGTTTCTGCTCTTTATTAGCCCGTTAAGTTTTCATATGATTTGTAAAACTCTAGCAAAACTTTATATAAAAAAAGGAATTGTTACAGAATCTGTAGAGACAGAATATTCCTTCAAAGAACTCAAATGTTCTTTTGGTAACGATCCAGCAACGAACCCAGATAGTTCAGAGCTAACAAAACCTCATTATATATGCAGGCAAGTGAGTTTTTCTGTTCTTATTTCTCCCACATCTCATCATTAGACCCCTCTAGTATTCAGCAGTGAAATTTGATACATCCAACAAGCAGATATCCTGCTGAAAGAAAGCGAGCTAGCTTTAAATTACGAGAAGGCCAAAGGATGTCTCTGCCTGCTCTCCACTCCCATAAAAACTACGCACCCGTCTGTCTTATTTTGTCCCTCCAGGACAACAAAGGGTTGCCCCAGGGACCTCCAAACACTTTAAATTTCGCTGTGCTCTTTTATATTAATGTGGAATCTGATATTACATTTGTTTTGTACTTTTTAATCGGCTTATGGCTGACGGAGTTGCCTTTCCTGCCCAACTCCTGCTGTTAAAGAGCTCACTCTCAGCTTTAGCAAATATTTGATTTATTGGGTACTATAGCTGCATGGAGGCAAATACGCTCCTGGAGTGGTACCCTTCAGGCAGACTGCATTGACCTTTTTCCTGGAACTTGGTAGCAGATCTGGACGAAGGCAGAGCTTGAGGAAGCTTGTTGTATTAAGAGTACGATAAGGCAGGGGTCCTCAACCGTGGCAACTTTAAGACTTGTGGACTTCAACTCCCAGAATTCCTCAGCCAGCAAGTCCACAAGTCTTAAAGTTGCCAAGGTTGAGGACCCCGCGATAAGGAACGTGAGGAATGCCAGACCTGGCCACCAAAATGGCCTAGTTTGCTGGCTGAGGTATTCTGGGAGTTGAAGTCCACAAGTCTTAATGTTGCCAAGGTTGAGGACCCCGTGATAAGGAACGTGAGGAATGCCAAATCTGGCCACCAAAATGGCTTAGTTTGCTGGCTGAGGAATTCTGGGAATTGAAGTCCACAAGTTTTAAAGTTGCCAAAGTTGAGGGCCCCGTGATAAGGAACGTGAGGAATGCCAAACCTGGCCACCAAAATGGCCTAGCTTTGCTGGCTGAGGAAATTCTGGGAGTTGAAGTCCACAAGTCTTAAAAGTTGCCAAGGTTGAGGACCCCGCGATAAGGAACGTGAGGAATGCCAGGCCTGGCCACCAAAATGGCCTAGTTTGCTGGCTGAGGAATTCTGGGAGTTGAAGTCCACAAGTCTTAAAGTTGCCAAGGTTGAGGACCCCATGATAAGGAACGTGAGGAATGCCAGGCCTGGCCACCAAAATGGCCTAGAGCCCTGGTCCAAAGATCTCCTGCCCGCTTGGGTACGTTTGTACTTTGTTCTCGGTCTGTGCTAAATGACAGACGGGTCTTTCAGGCATCTTCTGCTTTCAGGTAGGAACAGCCAGGGAGGATTGGGAGGGCAATGGAAAAGTCAGCTTTTGCCTGTTGTTATTGCAATGCCTGAGGGAAAGCAAAAGAAATTCAAAAGCCCGATGCCGGCAAATTAATTATCCGGGACTTTCTGTTCTTAATTCAGAGCAGGCCTCGTATTTCCTTTCTGTGCAAACTGCCGAAGGAAGGTATGCATCTCCCATTTAGGTCGGACGTATCAACAAAGCTCATAAAGGGGAACGATTGTCCTTCAAGATAAACAATAATAAAGGTTCCACCTCAGAGTAGCAACATACAATACACGTAATATATTTTCAGGAAAGCATCTTTTATCATATAGAAATGAATCGTGCATTAAAGACTTCCTGGGTATACTCAGCCCCTACAAACACATCTGGCCCTATTTGCTGCAGAGTAGTAGATGCTTCTCCTGTAGGGGCTTTGGTGCTCTTTGAACTGCGCACTGATGATGTTACCTAGTTGGGTTATGAAATGTCTGCAAGAAAACAACCAAACACAGACAGCACCAAGGACCCCACAGTCTTCCTCCTCCTCTCCACAAACTCTACTCCCTTCTAGCATGGATGATGTTCCCTAGTTGGGTCAGGAAATTCTGTAAGAAAACCACCAACTCACAGAGAGCACCAAGGACCTCACAATTTCATCCTTTTTCCTTTTAAAGCAGTGTTTCTCAACCTTGACCATTTTAAGGCATGTGGACTTCAACTCCCAGAATTCCACAGCCAGCATTGCTGGCTGTGGAATTCTGGGAGTTGAAGTCCACATGCCTTAAAATGGTCAAGGTTGAGAAACACTGTTTTAAAGCATTAAAGGTAGCAATCTAGCCTTGGTTATGGCTAAAGCTTTCTTACAAAATTCACCTATTGAAACTGAAGTAAGATGGAATTGGAGAGCCAGGGATAAAGCTATAACATTACACAGAAAATACATTAAAATATATGAAGTAGACCAAGCCAAGCCAAGCCAAGCCAATAGTACAGTACACACCTGAAGAAGCCCATTAAGTTCATCTCCAGATAAACAGATATACCTTCACAGCCGTCAGAATGCCCACCCCCCCAAACTAACAGGAACCTCAAAATCAATTTATTTTTACCTTACTCGTTAAAAAATATCTTTAATTTTGTTTTGTTTTTTTTCACAGAGTGGAGCCGTATATAAAATCAGATCAAGTTACGTCTTAAAAACCTTTTAATGGGTTCCATACTATGCCAGGCAAAAAATAAAATAAAATCATTTCTAAAAACAGTGGATGAGACATAGATCAGTAGCCATACATTTTAACGTTATGGACTTCTTTGTCCTCACATTCTCTTTCCTTATCGTAATAGTAGAAAGTGTTGTCCTTCCTCTGAAGCTTCTTCACAAATCCGGTTTCTGGCCACCTTTCCACCTGCATGCAAACGAGAAGAAGGGAAGTGCCTGTGAGTTCTTAGGAATGGCTGAGCTTACCTACGGGTCCTACTAGACCAGGGGTAGGCAACCTTGGCTCTTTTATGACTCGTGGACTTCAACTCCCAGAATTCCTGAGCCAGCATGGCTCAGCTTGGAAACCTCTCCCTTTCCCCTCAGCGTGGCTGGCTCAGGAATTCTGGGAGTTGAAGTCCACCAGTCATGAAGCGGCTAGGGCAGGGATAGGCAACCTTGGCTCTTTTATGACTCGTGGACTTCAGCTCCCAGAATTCCTGAGCCAGCCATGCTGAGGGGAAAGGGAGAGGTTTCCAAGCTGAGCCATGCAGGCTCAGGAATTCTGGGAGTTGAAGTCCACGAGTCATAAAAGAGCCAAGGTTGCCTACCCCTGGCCTAGGCCTAGGCGCTTTCTGACTTGTGAACTTCAACTCCCAGAATTCCTGAGCCAGCGTGGCTCAGCTTGGAAACCTCTCCCTTTCCCCTCAGCATGGCTGGCTCAGGAATTCTGGGAGTTGAAGTCCACGAGCCATAAAAGAGCCAAGGTTGCCTACCCCTGTGCTAGTGAAATCTGAATATACTTACAAGAGTCCATTTAGTGACCATTCAAAGTTACAACAGCAATGAAAAAAGTGATTTATGACCGTTTTTCAATGCCACCAGCTTTGCGGCCTCCCCCAGGGCCACGTGATCAAAATTCAGACGCTTGGCAACTGGTTCATATTTATGACGGTTGCAGTGACTCCCGGGGTCACCTGATCCCCTTTTGCGACCTTCGGACAAGCAAAGTCAATGGGGCAAGCCAGATTCACTTAGCAACTGATCAACCGCAGTGATTCGCTTAACGTTGGCAAGAAAAATCGCCAAATGGGGCAAAGCTCACTTTTACCAAGGTCTCACTTAACAATAGAAATTTTATTTTATTAGGTATTATGCCAGAAAAGATGGATAAACAAAGTATATATTTGATTTTACATGGGATAAACAGCGGCAAAAAATCATATTTGCCACAATATTGGAAAAAGGAAGAATTACCATCAGAAGAAGAAGAAATAATTAAAAAAATATTAAAATGGGCAGAAATGGACAGACTTACTATGAGGCTGAAAGAAAAAGAAGAAACAGAATACGGTCAAACTTGGGACTTGTTTTATCAATGGCTGGAGAAAATAATAAAGGATTGGGAATTAAATTTGTATTAGTGAATGATAAATCAGACAACATGTTGAATTAGTACTATTGAATTGTATGGAAAAATTTATTTTTTTTTAAAAAAAAAATAGGAATTTTGAGCTCAATTGTGGTCATAAATCGAGGACTATCTGTATGTGACAAAAAAAGGGCTATATAGTTTATACCATAGAGAAATATATGGGAAAAGGAGACCAGGCGTGCTGAGCATAGGATCCCAAACCTGATCCAAAGTTGACAATGCAGATAGAAGAACTCTCTCCCAAGAGTTGGTCAGCAGTATCCCGACTGATTTTATTGATATGGAATTCTGTGACTTTTCATTCTGTTCAACTGGGAACATTTTGAGTTTCTGGGCTCAGTTGATTTAAAGCTGGCTTTGAGCACGAATTCTCCTATCCCTTTATTCTTGGAAAGATTCAACCGAGGCTTACGTTTCTTGTGTTGCGCATATTTTATAGCCTTAATCAGTAACTTCCAGTCAGAAGTCTTGACCAAAAGTATCAGTAAGAGATACTTTTAAGGCTTTTCATTAGTAAATATGAGTGTTTTCCATGTTCTCAAAATTCACTCTTATCAGGGAGAAAGAATTAGTCACAACGTTTTGAGGAGTCTTGTCAAATTTACCACCACTGCAGATTTAGCTGAAGGCAAGAACACAAATTAGTGGATGCTTTCAATGCAATTGAGAAGAGGGGGGGGGGGAAGCATCGAAACATCATCAAAATTGCCTCTTTGTAGGGGGACTGGCATGGGTCCCCTCTGAAAGGCATCTCTGCCAGCAATTTCTTGGCTCAAAGTCACGTTGTGCTGTGTGCTGCCAGAGCACACAGGAGATGCAGCTGTAATCCCTAAATGCTCCTTTTTTGTTATGTATGCAAGTCCTGTTGATTAGACAAGGATGGCATAGCCTTCCATTTGTTCTGTCCATAAATGTGTTATTCAGTAGTCTTTAAAAAGGCAAGAAAATCTATTTCTCATGGATCCTTTAGCCTATATCCTTTAGTTTATGCCCTTATCAGGATAGCTGAACCAATGACTTGTTCCAACGTTTAGGCCTAATTTAGTGGGATTCACAGTTTCTTCGACCAGCTGATGGTCATGCAACTCTGCCTGCCCACAATACCCTATCACCAGGTACTCCGGAGAGTTGAGAGAGATTTAAAAAAAAAAAAGCAGACTTGTTATAAGGTAGGTATGTGGCTGGCTGGGTTTCAGAAGCTCCTCTTCAATAGAGAGGCATTCTGAATTAGCTCTCCGGATGCCAGCCAAAGACTGTTATGTGTCATGCACTTTTTGTTGTTGTTGTTAATTGTGAAGTCGTGTCCGACCCATCGCGACCCCATGGACAATGTTCCTCCAGGTCTTCCTGTCCTCTACCATCTTCTGGAGTCCATTTAAGTTCACACCTACTGCTTCAGTGACTCCATCCAGCCCCCTCCTTCTCTGTCGTCCCCTTCTTCTCTTGCCCTCCATCTTTCCCAGCATCAGGCTCTTCTCCAGTGAGTCCTTCCTTCTCCTTAGGTGGCCAAAGTATTTGAGTTTCAACTTCAGGATCTGGCCTTCTAAAGAGCAGTCGGCGTTGATCTCTTCTAGGACTGACCAGTTTGAACGCCTTGCAGTCCAAGGGACTCGCAGGAGTCTTTTTTTACCCAAGATTAAAAAACAATTTGGGTGGTCAGATGGATGCCTGCAGCCTGAAAATATTTTCTGCCCCTCCCTTCCTCCTTCCCCCTATATATATATTGCAGTGAGCTTAGGAAGTGCTTCTCCTAAAATCTCCAGCCACACCATGGCCTCTTTTCCCCAATTCCAACATTTTTCGATCCCTCGCTGATGAGTGTTTCTACATAATGGGAATCCCATTTTTCACTCCCACAAAATCCCTGTTCTGGAGATTGGGGAGCTAACACCTCTCCCCCTTTGCTTCTCTCCTTAGAGACAGAAGGCAAAGAATCAACAGAGAAGAGCTCTTTTGAAGCCAGCATTCCAGGCCCATGAAGTAACCATGGAGTTAAGACAGGGTCTAGAGACTCTAGAGCAGTGGTTCTCAACCTGTGGGTCGGGACCCCATTTGGGGTCAAACGACCATTTCACGGGAGTCGCCAAACAACGCAGTCCGCCATTTTCCTCCCCTTTTCCTTAGCTGTGCTACTCCTTTTTATTCTATTGGCTTTTGAAAGCCAATAGAATAGACTCTCTTGAATAGAGTCTAATTCTATTGGCTTTCAAAAGCCAATAGGAATTGTCCAGGCTGTCTCTGCCCTGCTGAGCCCGCCAAAAGTCCCATTCTGCAAATGGTGCTGCACCAGTTGAGTAGTCTTCGACTTACGACCGGTTGAGTAGTTCTCAACTTACGACCGGTTGGGGGTCGCGGCATTAAAAAGGTTGAGAACCACTGCTCTAGAGAGAAATGGCCAGGAATAAAAATCAGCTCAACTCTGTTCACTGTCTCCAAATAAATAACTTCCCACATAGTCATGCACATGAAAGTAACTTCAATATTATTTTCTGGACCCAATCAAAAATTTAAAGCCCTAAATAGCTTGGATTCCAACTGGACCCATGATGGAACCAGCAGAAAAGCATTTGCCATGAGCAAATAAACTGGCTTCAGGGCCATCTAATTCAATATGAATGCAACTGGACACTAAAACTAACAAAATATTCTTTCTAAAGTCTGTTTTTGACCGCACATGAAAAGAACCTTGTGCCGTTCCCAAGCCTATTAAATGCGCTTAGCCTGTTTTCTGATTTTGGTTGACAAATCAAAATCTTTTGTGTTTCACCAACTCATTTCAGAGTTCACCAAGGGCGATTTTAACGGTCTTTATTCAGATTTTGCCTTCTTAGCCACCTCAAAAGCTCTCTAAGGTAAAAGACATCATGTAAATTAAATAAATGGCCATCACTCCTTCTGGTGATTGACAGGAAAAAGGAAAATGTACTAGGTAACATAATGCCTAATATATGTTGCACTAGTTTTCTATTGCTTATCAGGCATTAATTCAGCTACTATTATTATTATTATTATTAGCAAACTACCCTGGAGAGCAAAGGGAAGCAAATTACATTTTTTAACATTTAAATTTTATTGGATTCTACTAATCTAGATGAAATGTTTATATATATATATATGTATGTATGTATGTATGTATGTGTGCGTGCGTGCGTATACACATACATTTCATCTAGATTAGTAGAACCCAATAAAATTTATATATATATGTATGTATGTATAGCTATATATCTACATAAATAAAAATGTAAATGTTCGTTTGTTCAAAATCTTAAATCTCCAAAAGTTCTTCACCGATTGCTTTGAAATTTTGACACAACATTGCATTCAAATACGCACATGTTTTTATATGCCTATATTATATAGATGTCACACCGGTGACAGGTAAAAACATGCTTTTTGTGAAAAACAGCGCCATCTGTTGGACGTAAAAGCAACACACGCTACGATTTCAGACAATCTCTATATCTGCACAGACAATGGAACAACAAAAAATATTGTATACCCACAAGCATTGTGAAATTAAACATATTACAAATGTGGGCTTTCTCTTTTCTTTCTTTTCCATTTAACCAGACTGAGCCACAGCAACGCGTGGCCGGGAACAGCTAGTATATATATATATATATATATGTATATGTAAATATATATGTGTGTGTGTGTTTGTGTATATGTGTATGTATGTATGTATATATATATGTGTGTGTGTGTGTGTGTGTGTGTGTGTGTATATATATATGTATATATGTGTGTGTGTGTATATATGTGTGTGTGTGTGTGTGTGTATATATATATATATATATATATATATATATATATATATATATTCAGAGGTTTTCGCGTATGTAGGTCTTTGGTTGTTCGGGTTTTCTCCCACGTAAAATTGGAAGTGTCTTGGTGACGTTTCGACGAAGTTCCATTCGTCATCTTCAGGCTGGTGTTTTCAGCACGAAGCTGAAAACACCAGCCTGAAGATGATGAATGGGACTTCGTCGAAACGTCGCCAAGACACTTCCAATTTTACGCGGGAGAAAACCCGAACAACCAAAGACCTACACACACACACACACACACACACACACATATATATATAGTCCGTGTATGATATGCTATGCATTAGTTAAACAAACAAACAAACAAACAATCAAACAAGCATATCCTGATCTCTACAACTAACCATGGTCAAAAGCCTGCCAGATTTCCAGAAGGGCAGCAGGACAATAACCAGAAAGGAAAAAGGACTAAACATTTGTTTCCCAGCTATTCCTTCCTTTCCAAATGTAACATTCACTCTTGAAAGCAAAGTTAAAAGATAACCTGATTTAGCTCCAATAACTAGACTGAAGACTACAATCCTGTGTACGTGTGAATGGTATAGCATTGGTGAATTTGGATTATTGTTTTTAAGTCAATTTTATAGTTTCTTCAATGAAAAAATCAAGGCAGCTTATTTATGTATACACACAAACATACATAACATATAAACTAAAACAACATTAATTAAACACAAAGAACACACTGCAGGGCTGGTAAAAAATACATGCACGATAGCAGCTCTTCAGTAAACGGTAAATACATATCCAGTCAAATGCTTTAGAGCAGCGGTTCTCAACCTGTGGGTCGGGACCCCGTTTGGGGTCGAACGACCATTTCACAGGGGTCGCCAAACAATGCAGTCCACCATTTTTTTCCCCCTTTTCCTTAGCTGTGCTACTCCCTTTTATTCTATTGGCTTTCGAAAGCCAATAGAATAGACTCTTTTGAATAGAGTCTAATTCTATTGGCTTTCAAAAGCCAATAGGAATTGTCCAGGCTGTCTCTGCCCTGCTGAGCCCGCCAAAGTCCCATTCTGCAAACGGTGCTGCACCAGTTGAGTAGTCCTCGACTTACGACCGGTTGAGTAGTCCTCGACTTACGACTGGTTGGGGGTCGCGGCATTAAAAAGGTTGAGAACCACTGCTTTAGAGAGAAGGATGTATTTGAAAGTTTCTCCACCCAGCCCACAACAGCTGGGTTGCAACAAAAATATACCAGGACCTGCAAGGCAACTGAAGGTCCCACCCTTCCCTCTCCCCCTGGAAATCAGGGAAGGGTTCCAAAATGGGCAAATTCAGCCATTGGTATTTATAACCTATGTTTCATAGTTTGCCATGTTGCACAAACTCAGTTACTTGTGATTTATTTGAGAAACCCTCACTGAATAAATCTTCCAATGATGCTTTTTCCACCAACAGCCACGAATCACGCCAAGAGGTGAGACAAATGAAAAAGTACTACAAACCTAAGGAGATTATTGTACAGAATAGTAAGTTTTCATCTTGAAAATGTGCAATTCTTAAAGTTTATTAAGTCTTACCGCAGCAACATGCTTTACTTGCTTATATTCAATTTCATCTCTATAGCCAGCTTGCTGAAATCTGTATAGATTTTCCACTTCATCTGACCATGTTTTGGCTCGCTGTATGAACTTTGGCTTCAGGTCAATCCCGGCTGTTGCTCCAGAGACATCACCGGCTAATTTGCTGAAAGTGCGTTTTTTTAAAAAATAAAATAAAATAAAATGCAGTGCCGTGTCGTGCATAAAAAAAAGCAGAGGAAACGTCATCAAAATATTTATGAAAAGACATTGCAGCTAAATGTATGGACATAATCGATTAAAGCCGTAACTGTATTATAAACCATTTTGATACCACCCAAAAAACTTACCAATTGTTTTTGACAAAAAGCAGCTATAATTTTGAAAAGCAGAGCTACTAACGAAAAGGGGAATAAATAATCATGGTTTTAGGCCCAGATTTTCTCTCCTTTGTTTTTTTCCCCCAGCCTAAATGTGTATATATTTAGAATATAAATCCTGATTTGTCCCTTTGCTTCCAAAAAGAAAGTAAGGTGGAAGAAAAGTTCTTCACTTCCCAAGAAGCCATCTCGAGTATCCTCACGACAAGATAGGCAGCAAATAGGTTTAACAAATAAATAATAAATACATCTGTAGATCACTATTTTGCCTTATGCTGTATTTGGTTCTATCAGTAGTAGGCCAATTTAATTTGTGAACTGCTGCTTGACACCATGGAAAAACATTCCTTCTTTCCTTCCTTCCTTCCTTCCAATAATAATAATTATAATAATAATAATAATAATAATAATAATAAATAATAATAATAGTAATGATGATGATGATGGTGGAAGGGACCTTGGAGGTCATCGAGTCCAACCCCTTGCTCAGGCAGGAAACCCTATACCATTTCAGACAAATGGCTGTCCAGTTTCTTCTTAAAAACTTCCAGTGTTGGCGCATTCACCACTTCTGGAGGCAGGCTGTTCCATTGGTTAATTGTTCTAACTGTCAGGAAGTTTCTCCTTAGTTCTAGGTTGCTTCTTTCCTTGATTAGTTCCCACCCGTTGCTTCTTGTCCTGCCCTCAGGCATTCTAGAGAATAGCTTGACTCCCTCTTCTTTGGGGCAGCCCCTGAGATATTGGAACACTGCTATCATGTCCCCCTTCCTTCCTTCCTTCCTTCCTTCCTTCCTTCCTTCCTTCCTTCCTTCCTTCCTTCCTTCCTTTCCTCCCTCCCTCCCTTCTCCCCAACCTCTTGAGACAAGATAGATTACAATTCTTCAATCTATATGCTCAAATGAATAAAATCCTCAATCAGCGGGATGTCACCCTGAAGACCCTGCATGATCGCCACTTACGTGTCTTCAGGGCTAACTGCTTCTCTACTGAAGGACGTACCAGGCTTATCTGTCATACGTGCTTCTCCAGAGGAGAAAGAAGCACAGGCTATATTCTTACTGTCCATAAACAAAGCTGAATTTTCCATAGGAGCTTCTGCAAAAACAACAAGCGTGATATCAGGAATATAAAAACGCAGTCTAGCTAAAAAGGACTTTTAACATCTTCACGGTTAGGTCTATATGCCATTTTTACAATCTGTTGTTTTTGTCATTCTGCTAAAGAAGATAACGCATGGGCTTTGTGTATCAGTTGTGAATTGATACGTACTGTAGCCTGCAGTTTTTATTTATCACGAAAATCTGTAATCTGGGGTCATCTCTTAAGCTAATTAGAGGAGGCAAGTCACGTTTAGTTATCAAAATATTAATTTGGGAATGAGCTGGAGTAGAAAAAAAACGATCTGAAAAGTTTACAAATTTCTTAGCACAAGTGAAAATAAATGGCTCATTTTTTTAGTGAGAAAATCACAATATTAATTATATAACTATATACATTTTATATATATATATATAAAACTATATACATAATTTTATGTGTGTGTGTGCATGTATGTATGTATATATATAAATTATACTGGTAATTATATAATACTATTATTACGATCTTATAGTAATTATTAGTTTATTTATTTGTTACTTTTTGGTATCCTGAATAGCAAATGACCTGCTATCTTCAAGTTGCCAGTTTTTGATTGGGAATTCAAAAAATATTTCTATATATTTATAGAATCTATGTTTATAGACTCTGTATTTGAATTTCTGAGCCAACTGTGGGCCACACACAGCATAAGGGGCAGCCCTCCTAAGATGTGCACCGTTTGCCCTTCAAAAGCCCCCCAAAAGTTTGATCTCGCGGGTCGCTTCGCTCCTTTTCCCACCAACGTGTGAACAAACTGTACACACACGTGCAGATTCCCTATTCCCGCCGCACCAGCCCAAATATCGCGATACCCGTCCCTGGAGCAGAGTTGTCACCCGGAAAGGGGCGGGGCCTTTATATCAACCAATCAGAAAGACTGTTTATTGAGGGAGAGAAAGTGAGGGGAGATGCTTATTCCCCTATTTCTCCATCCCCGACTTCCTCCCCTGGCCGGGCTTGCAGCGCTTCCCTCCTCGGAAGGGGAGCCAGCCTCGCCCCGCCGCCCTGGACGGCCCTTAAGTACCTTAGCAGAGCTTCTCCACGCACGCCGCGCACACGCCCCGCCCCCGCAGTGGTTACGCGGTTGCTTAGCAACCCCAAGGTTCCAGGGTACGGGCCAATCGGAGCTGCCGGCGGGGTCTAGTCAAATTCTACCGAAAGGCGGGCTCTTCGTCTCTGTGGGCCAATCGGTGGATTCTAGGACCTAGGCTCCCTAGAAGCTCGACCAAACAGGAGCAGCGTGATGGAATTCTGGGAACGGTAGTCCAAAACATGGACTGTGCCAGTTTCTTCATTGGTTTATCATTGTTACCAACGAGAGCTTCAGGTTAGAGAACCTCCGTATAGAAAGTGTTGCATGCAAGGAAAGACGAAGGAAGACATGCGTCTTGCACTTTGGGCTGGGGCAGCGTTCCCTTTTTTTGTTTTTCAGAGTAAATACGATTTAGTCAGAATAAAAGGAGAAAATACAGGGATGCTGCACTAGGACCCAGCCGCTCATAGAGTCCCCTCCCCCGCCTCCAGCACGTGTGAGGCTTCTCTGCGATTGGCTGAGGCGGCGCCCAATCACAGGGAAGCCTTTCCCCGGACGCCTGCGTAAATGAGAACTCGGAAGGCGTGGCTCCCCGCTCTGGCTGAGCCTCCTCGTCCCTTTAAGGCAGGGGTAGGAAACCTTGGCTCTTTTATGACTCGTGGACTTCAACTCCCAGAATTCCTGAGCCAGCATGGCTCAGCTTGGAAACCTCTCCCTTTCCCCTCAGCATGGCTGGCTCAGGAATTCTGGGAGTTGAAGTCCACGAGTTATAAAAGAGCCAAGGTTGCCTACCCCTGCTTTAAGGAGAGAGCAGCGCCACGCCCTCCGAGTTCCCATTTGCGCATGCGTCCAGGGAGTCTTGCCTGTGATTGGCGCCGCCCCAGCCAATGAGAGGGCGGCGGGAAGAGCCTGGCGGAAGGGCCAAGCGGAAAAGCGGCTGACGGCAATATGAGCATCTTCGGCGGGGTGATGCGTGAATATCCGCACCTCTCCATCGACCGCTTCGACCGGGAGAACCTGCGCGCCCGCGCCTACTTCCTCTCTCACTGCCATAAGGGTGAGCGGGGGCCCCGGTGGGAGAAGGGGCGAGAAAGGAGACCACCAGGAGATCCCAGCGCTGCCTCTTTTCTTCAGACACTCACTAAGTCGTGTGTCTGGTGGCTCCAGGATGATAAAATGAGTGCTTACGACCATAATGGAGCCCAAGATTTCTGTTGCTAAGCGAGACATTTGTTAAGTGAATTTTGCCCCATTTTACGACCTTGCTTGTCCCGGTTATAATAATAATAATAGTAGTAAAGTTGGAAGGGACCTTGGAGGTCATCTAGTCCAACCCCCTGCTCGGGCAGGAAACCCTACACCATTTCGGACAAGTGGCTGTCCAGTCTCTTCTTAAAAACTTCCAGTGTTGGAGCATTTACTGCTTCTGGAGGCAAGCTGTTCCACTGATTAATTGTTCTCACTTTCAGGAAGTTTCTCCTTAGTTCTAGGTTGCTTCTCTCCTTGATTAGTTTCCACCCGTTGCTTCTTGTCCTGCCTTCAGGTGCTTTGAAAAATAGCTTAATTCCCTTTTCTTTATGGCAGCCCCTGAGATATTGGAATACTGTTATCATGTCCCCCTTTGTCCTTCTCTTCGTTAAACTAGACATACCCAATTCTAGCAACCGTTCCTTATATGTTTAGCCTCCAGTCCCCTAATCATCTTTGTTGCTCTTCTCTGTACTCTTTCTAGAGTCTCAACATCTTTTTTACATCGTGGTGACCAAAACTGGATGCAGTATTCCAAGTGTGGCCTTACCAAGGCATTGAAGAGTGGTATTAATACTTCACGTGATCTTGATTCTATCCCTCTGTTAATGCAGCCTAGCACTGTGTTGTGGTGAATCACTGCAGATATTCAGTTAGTAATGATTCTTAAGCGAATCTGGCTTCCCCATCGACTTTGCCTGACAAAAGATGGGATCCCGTGAGCCTGGGACACTGCAACCGTCATAAATATGAGTTAGTTGTCAAGCATCTGAATGTGAATCATGTGACCGTGGGGATGCTGCAAAGGTAGTAAGTGTGAAAAACAGTTCTAACACTTTTTTTTCCAGTGCCGTTGTAATTTCTAACGGTCACTAAATGAACTGTTGTAAGTCGTCTGCCTGTATTTGTCCACCTATCTGGCCAGGAAAGAGTGAGATTTGAATAATAGAAAAATATGGGGACAGGTAGCGATTAAATGTTGAAAGTCAAATTATGTTTAATCATGTATCTAAGTGATGGTATGGAGGGCAGTTCGACAAAACATTTCCAGCTGCTTTGTTATCTACTTTGATGAACATGCCTGAGCATTTCTGGGAAGGGTTATTAACATTTCTAGGACTTTTGAGAATATTTTGAGCACTCGGAGTTTGCTAGTATCGACATCCTTCTATGAGGATCAAGAAGAATATGAGATAGATAGATAGATAGACAGATAGATAGACAGACAGACACACAAACACACACACACACACACACACACACACACATTTCTTCCAAGAAATAAATGTATTTATTGGACAGCCATTTGTCTGGGATACAATAAGTTCTCCAGGCACGCCAGACTTTCCTCTCCTCCACTGTCTCCCAGAGGTTTGCCCAGACCCACGTTCATTGCGTCAGTGACCCTATCTAACCATCTCCTCTGCCGTCCCCTTCTCCTTTTGCCTTCCATCTTTCCCAACATCAGGGACTTTTCCAAGGAGTCCTCTCTTCTGATTTGGTGGCCAAAGTCTTTGAGTTTCAGCTTGAGGTTCGGTCCTTCCAAAGGACAGTCAGGGCTGACTTCCTTTAGGATTGACTGATTGGATCTCCTCGCAATCCAAGGGTCTCTCAAGAGTCTTGTTGAGCACCAAAATTCGAAAGCATGTGTGGAGTTACTAAGACTTGGTCAAAGGAGGAGAGCAGGAAAAAAAAAGTCAGCTATGTCTTGGCTTCAGTCTCCAGCACCACAATTTGAAAGCAGGCACCACCCCTAGTGTGGAAAAAACACCCTGAAGAAGGCGAGCCCAATGGGTGGGCTCTCCATAACATGCAAATAAATAAATTTAATTATAGACCTACCAAGTAAACTATTAGTGTGAAGTCACCTCTGCCTTTGAAGCTGAATATCCACTCTGAGTCTATTTGTATCTTGTTGCCACAAATCCCCATCAGTAGAGTTGAATTTGGAAGATGCTTTTTTTGATTATTTTTTTAAATTAAATTATTTTTTAAGCAAAATGTACATACAGGCTGCTAAAGACCCAGCAGAGGCTGATCCCTGCTTTTCTATCTGGTATCGATATCTTCCAAGTGGGGAAAACTTGTGGAACATGTTGATGTATTTAATGTGTTAGTTTTCTAATGATTTGTACGGAGATTATTTTAATTTATATCACGTTGGTTTGTTTATTTAGATCACATGAAGGGCTTGAGAGCCCCTTCCATGAAAAGACGGCTGGCATGCAGGTACATGAACTGCTTCTGTTAAATTTTGCTAGAATAACAGATTTAGAAGCATCTGACGGGAGCATCCAATTGCAATCGCCTCTTTTCAAATTTCTTTGAAAAGAATATTACTGTTCTGGATAGCATCATTCTTTCACTATTCTGGTCCTGAGTTAAAACGCCTTATAAATCAGATCAGATAGATAAACTCAATAGGAATAATTTCATAACAAAAACGTATTTATTCAGATAGATTACTTGCATTGATGCTGGTTGTTACTTCTGGAAAATACATCTCTGTTCATTCCCATAGGTGAAAGAATGATGCTCTCTCCATACCATCTTTATAGCGGAACAGGGTCATCGGGTGACATCCGATGGCCCATGCTTCTCTTTAGACAAAGACATTCCAATCTGGCTTGTGTCCAAGAAGTCTCCCAATGCCCTTTAGAAACTCCTCCCACTGACCCATTAACATGGGATGACTGACTAGCTAAAACTACATTTCTCATAAGCCATCTCTTAAGGAGACAGCATTTAACCCAATAAATGCCAGATATTCTAACATACAGATACATGCTCTCTAGTTAGGGTCACATAGAGTTATACGATCCAGAATAGTTACAATATTGTTTTTTTGCCCTGTCATCTTTCTTTACGCTTTTTTCCTTGTGGAAAAATCTTTCTCCAGAAGTGTTAGTACCATTTAGAGTTGATTGAAATGTTGCATTTGACTGGGGTTGTTGAAACTTTCAATGCAGTGGAGACCAAGAAGGGATATTAAGTGAAATAAAAAATAATCAGAGAAGATCCTTGCAGGCCTGCATAGCAGAATTTGACACACAGGTATTCCTTGACTTACAACCACAACTGAGTCCAAAATTTCTGTTGCCAAATGAAACACTTGTTAAGTGAATTTTGCCCCATTTTACAACTTTTTCCTGCCACAGTTGTTAAGTGAATCGCTGCAGATGTTACGTTAGTAACATGGTTGTTAAATGAATCTCGCCTTCCCATTGACTTTGCTTGTCAGTAGGTCGCAAAAGCGGATCACATAACCCCGGGACACTGCAACCATCATAAATATGAGTCAGTTGTCAAGTGTCTGAATTTTGATTACATGACCATGGGAATGGTGAAATGGTCGTAAGTGTGAAAAGCGGTCATAAGTCCTTTTTTTCAGTGCTGTTGTAACTTCAAACAGTCACTAAATGAATTGTTGTAAGTTGAGGACTACCTGTACTTAGCAATTACATGCAATTATCAAATTTCCCATGCAATTGTAGAGGATATGAGAGCTGTGGTGGCGCAGTGGTTAGAATGCAATACTGCAGACTAAATCTGCTGATTGCCGGCAGTTCGATCCTGACCAGCTCAAGGTTGACTCAGCCTTCCATCCTTCTGAGGTTGGTAAAATGAGGACCCAGATTGTTGGGGGCAATATGCCGACTATAAACTGCTTAGAGAGGACTATAAGGCACTGTGAAGCGGTATATAAGTCTAAGTGCTATTGCTATTGCTAGGTTGGCTTGCATGTCTTGTGAAATAAATAGCTTGGTTAAGAGATCGGAATGCTTTAAGAAGATAGAACTCTCTCTTCCTCATCTATGCAGTTCTTCTGAATTCTTCAGAAGCTGGAAATGGTGCTATCTCCCATTATTGTATCTTATTGTTCTCAACCTTGGCAACTTTAAGATGTGTGGACTTCAGCTCCCAAAATTGAAATATACAACACATTACATGATATGTTTGTGTTTTGTTTTCTTTTATCTTACAAGCTTGAAACTCCGTCTGTATTGCTCCCCTGTGACAAAAGAATTGCTACTGTCCAGCCCACGATACACATTCTGGGAAAATTACATTGTAAGTTACCCGTTTCTTGTACATGTTTATTACCTATAAATGCTACAAAGGCAATAAGAAAATCTAGTTCCCCCTACATCTTCCTGTTATAAATATTCCCACACTAGGAGTGTCATAAATATATCTCTTTTCTCAGCGTTGATCTGTCTATTGTGGTTTCTATGATTTAGGTCACCTTGGAAGTTGAAACACCGACGCAAATTTCTCTCATTGAGGAAGCAACAGGCGAGGTGGGATGCTCAGTTGAAGCTCAGTGCTTTATCTTTTTGATCAAAATGTGTGCCTGTGTTTAAAGCTTTCTAACCCTCAATTCTTGCAAAACCCCATGGTTTGGGGGAAAATTATTTTTACCTCTCCGAGTTACCAACCATAATGCAGACTGATCATGTGACTGACCTGATTTTACAATGTTTTCTGCAGCAGTTAAGTGAATATAGCAGCTGTAAGATGAACACCGCAGTCGTTAAACCAGTCATGCTTCAATATAGGCATGATTTTGCTGAAAACCATAAGTAACTGCTGGTTTTTGCCTAACCCAAGGGTAGGCAACCTTGGCTCTTTTGTGACTCGTGGACTTCAACTCCCAGAATTCCTGAGCCAGCCATGCTGAGGGGAAAGGGAGAGTTTCCAAGCTGAGCCATGCTGGCTCAAGAATTCTGGGAGTTGAAGTCCATGAGTCATAAAAGAGCCAAGCTTGCCTATCCCTGGCCTAACCCATTGTAAAACGCAATAACATAATGCAGGACTGAAAACAGTCATAAAGCAGCCACGTTGTTGAGCACCCAAAGGGATGGGGTGGAGGTGAGGGGGAAACCATTGAAATCCAGGTCTTAAGTCTCCTTTTGTATGTTGGTCATAACTTTGATTGCCAAGAAATCGATTGCAAGTTGGGGGCTACCCATAATTCCTTTTCTAGCCATTCAGTTGCAAATCTTAAATGCAAGAGAGGACAAAATTGCTTCTTTGCTTATTTTTACGACTGTTCTCACCATTAACACAAGAAATCTATCAAAAAAACACCAATTCAGAAGTCATATTATTATTTGTAAAATTTGGAATAATTCTGATAAGATCAGAAGGGGACGTCTGGAAGATTTTGAGCTCAAATTGTTTTGCACCCTTGACAAATGGGCAAACAATTCTAAGCAAGTGTTTCTTATTAACTGTGACTGATAATTGGGGGGACCAGATATTAGTATAAAAATCGAGAGTTTTCCATGTTGTTTTCCACCTTCCTGTTATCTAATGAATTTGAAGCTCTTTTTTCATCTTTTCCTCCCAGAAAGAAGATATAGAGGTCACACTTCTGCCTGCTGGCCATTGTCCAGGATCAGTTATGTATGCATTTTGTTCTCCTATCAAACAATTAACAGCAATGGTGGAAATGTGTATTTTGTTTACTTTTGCTACAATTCTTTTACATTTCATGAGGATCCAAGTGTAATTAGCCTAATTCATCCCCATTAGGAAGAGGGAGGGAGGGAAATTCTGACACTCCCTACCAGCTTCCCACAAGGAAATGCAATGGGGAAGACAGCAGGAAATCAGAAGTTGTCCTGCTCTTACTGCTTTTGGCCCACCCTTGGTCATTCTGTTTCTTTGCTTAGGTAAGGAAATGTCTCTGAAACAATGACTCTGTCATGGTTTCGATTGACAGAGACAAGTAAAGCAGAACTCCGAGGCTTGCAAATTCCTCAAAGGACATGTTTATTAATACAGAGTATCAGTACTTCAAAAGTGAGACCAAGTCTGAAGAGATGCATAACAATTCCCCAATACAAAGTATTGGGTACAGGTGGTACCTTGCGCAATAGTAGTAACTGTGAGAGGGATCTTGGAGTCCCAGTGGACAATCACTTAAGTGTGAGCCAGCCGTGTGCTGCAACTGCCAAAAAAGCCAACACAGTGCTAGGCTGCATTAACAGAGGGATAGAATCAAGATCACGTGAATTGTTAATACCACTTTACAATGCCTTGGTAAGGCCACACCTGGAATACTATATCCAGTTTTGGTCACCACAATGTAAAAAAGATGTAGAGACTCTAGAAAGAGTACAGAGAAGAGCAACAAAGATGAACAGGGGACTGGAGGCTAAAATATATAAGGAACGGTTGCTGTAATTGGGTATGTCTAGCTTAATGAAGAGAAGGACGAGGGGGGACACGATAGCAGTGTTCCAATATCTCGGGCTGCCCCAAAGAAGAGGGAGTCAAGTTATTTTCCAAAACGCCTGAAAGCAGGACAAGAAGGAACAGATGGAAGCTAATCAAGGAGAGAAGCAACCTAGAACTAAGGAAAAACGTCCTGAGAGTTGGAACAATTAATCAGTGGAACAACCTGCATCCAGAAGTTGTGAATGCTCCAACACTGGAAGTTTTTAAGAAGAGACTGGACAGCCATTTGTCTCATTTGCCTGAGCAGGGGGTTGGACTAGATGACCTCCAAGGTCCCTTCCAACTTTATTATTATTATTATCATTATCATTATTTTCATTATTATTATTGATATTGATATTAATTGATATTATTAATTGATATTATTAATTAATATTGTTATTATTAAGAAATCCCACCCCCAAAGCTATGCAAGCAACTCCGTATCCCCACTCAGCCTGTTGGCGGGCTTTTCATGAAACGCCCACCCTGCAGTCTCGGGAGCAGCCAATGGCCTTGGTTCCCATGAAAGAAAGTCCGAGATAAAAAGTCTGCTTTGTCTAGCTAGCACAACACCTGGCTAACCCCCTCCCTCCATGCTATGTGGCAACTAGGAAAAGGATGGCTGCCACCATGCTCATTCTAAAGTGGACAGACTCAACAGGGAGTGGGTTGTTTAGCAGCATATGTGGATATGAATAACAAATGAATATGTTTTCAACCAGGTTTCTCTTCCAAGGGGAAAATGGGACTGTATTGTACACGGGGGATTTCCGACTCGCCAGAGGAGAAGTGGCCCGAATGGAACTCTTGCATTCAGGAAGCAGGTGAGGCAAGCCCCTGGCTCTTCACCGTGGAACACCCGTAGTAGGCCTATGAAGAAAAGGTGGATATTGTCCCTATTTTGTGTCCTCGGTAACACGCGTGGGGGTAGTATGTAGGAATGATCTCAGCTCTTTAGCATGTCGGAATGTCTTGAACTTAGCTGGTGAAAGATGCTTTGAGGATGCTACTCCCCACCAGTCCTATGAAATGAGAAACCCAAAGCCTCTTACGTACGCTTGGGTGATCCACCTCTGTGCTTTCTCTGCACTTGCTATTGATTGATTGATTGATTGATTGATTGATTGATTGATTGGAAGAGGAGTTGCTGAATTTTCAGAGCTGAGGGATCCATATGCCACTCCCTGCAAACTCAGCCACAGTCTATAATAAGTCAGAGAGGGTCAGTTCCGACTAGGTCATTTTAATGTGTGCCATTGTGTACATAGAAAAGTGGCAATAAAGCTTATCTTATCTCGTCTGTTCCAGTAACAAGGGATAAGTGGCAACTGTCCCTCCTATCCACCAGCATGCTGAGGTGGATCGTGCAGGTGGGAGAAAGGTGTGCGAATATTGATTTTCCTGTCAACCGGGCTTGCATTTTGTAGCAGAATTCTTTCTCAATGGCTTTCCCAGCTTTTGCAAAAAAATTACGATCTGGGTCCTTGAACCAGCATCCACGTGGCTTCCGATTCTCATCTTAGCCGAGAGAAGCTTGAAAACGAATTTATGTCCTGCTTTCCCTTCTTGAGAAATTAAATGACTTTGTAAAAGCAAATATAATATTCCAGATCCTGGCATAAACTTTATGAATTAATGTGTAGCTGACATAATTATGCCCGAAGCAAGATGGGATAGTCCATTCATTTAGTGACCTTTCAGAGTCACAACAACACTGGGGAAAGTGATTTACAACTAGTCCTCACAATTACTACCAGCATTCCCATGATCAAAATTCAGATGCAGGTAATGCTGTGGGAAGAATCCAGAGAAAGAAATAATATTTTGGGAAATATTAAAAAGGCAGAATACATTTCCCCAACGGATTTTAAAGGCAGAAACCAACCCTTCCCCAAGTCTCTCTGCCCCAAACAAGGGCAGGTCTGCAGAAATGCAGATGTGATAATCTTGTCAGAAATATTGGAGTCAGGACGCTGGGATTAGAAAGACAAAGATCCCTAGAATCAACAATCCCTCATACCAAAAAATCCAACAGTCATCAGCCCCAGCCCCAGGGAAGCAGGATATGACCTTTGGGATATAATAGGATTAACCCACCACCATCAGAATACCAGAAAGGCAAACTCAGACTGAGGTCAAAGTTCATGCCACAGGAACAACTCCAAACAAAAGCCCAAGAAGGTATAAAAAGTTTTTCCAGAGCGATCTTTCTGTCTGGCTCTCCTCTTCAATAAACTGCAACCTTCTTTCTAAAGCAGTCTCCATTTTGTTTATTCCTGGCTCGGACTGGACCCTGATGAAGATTTTTCTTTCAACAATACCATTTGCGGCCTTCTTAGCTGGCTTCCAGCAAGCAAAGCCAATGGGGAAAGTCAGATTTGTTTAATGACAGTGTGATTCACTTAACAACAGGGGCAAAAATGGTCATAAGATCTGGCAGAACTCAACTGCCTTGCTTAGCGATTGAAGTTCCAGTCCTAACAGTGGAGTCAAGGACTACTGTACCGATTCTGTGCCATTCTCTTTTCAGAGTGAAAGACATCCAGAGTGTCTATTTAGACACCACATTCTTTGATCCCAAATATTATCAAATACCAAGCCGGGTGAGTAGCATGAAAAGATAACATTATGTATATGTAACTAAAATATGTAAATTGATACATTCTTCCAGTTATTAATGATGATAAAAGTAGGTATACCTTGAAGCATAAATACATTGAGCTTATGAAATACATGACATGGGCCCATTTTGTTCTAGACAACATGGATAGCAATAATGTTTCATCTGTCTTCCTATTTGTGGTGTAATTTTGCTTGCCATGCTGCTGATTGCTGTAATTCCACTTGAAACTCCTGGCAATTCTTACATTCAGTTCCGACTATACAAATTAATGATTCGGGCAACCATATAACCAATTTAGGCCTTTTCCAATGCAATGTAATTAATTCAGGCTTATTCTGTTTTAGATTGCCGAATATTGTAAGTCTCTGAATTACATTAATAGCTAAATTTTGCTTTATTCTAGATGATGGAGCCTGCATTTTGTTCATACTTTTTATTCCTTATTAATTATCTGGGAATCTCCGAATAGATACCAGATTGGTTTTGCCGACTTTAAAAGGAAGTGTGATGATCCAGGGCACAGCACAGAGGCACTGCAGTCAGCTGGCAGTTCAAACCGCCCTTTAATTGCTCCAAGTTTTCCCCAAATGCTCCCACGTTTCTGGCAAGCCTCCAAACAAAGGAAGACACACACCCCTTCAGCCACCTCTGGCTGCAAGTAGTTTCACACACAGTCTGATTAGAAGAGTAATTTGCTCAAGGCCACGGAGATAACAAGGAATGACACATACATCCAAACAATGTTGTCAGTCAGTCCAATGGTCAGGGTTTCCGGGTTTCCAAGCAGAAATCACAACACAGAACAAGAGATCAGCAACAACACACAATACTCCAAGGAATCAGTGTTTGTTCCAGACAAATGCCTCTCCCCACAGTGTCTCCTTAAGTCTCAGTCTCCAGGTGTGCCTTGTGGAGAGGGGCGGGACACTCTCCTTCCGAGTAGTTGAGCCTGCCTGCGTTGTTCCCTCCTTCTGTCCACTCTCCGTGCTCTAGGATCAGGAGGGGTGGCCCTTGCTCATCGCCTGAACATTGCCTCTCCTGTTCCTCCTGTCCCAATCCTGAAGCGCCCTGGCCTACCTCTGCCTGCTCTTTCCCACATTTCTCTGAAGCCACAGACACCTCTCCCTCCACCTCGACCAGCTTATTTTCCTCATAAAATTCAGGCATCGACTGAGGCATGACAGGAAGTTTTACGATCACTTAGACATCAAGCTTATTTCAAAGGAGATTTTACTGATGATTGTAGTAAAGTGATGTCATATTGAGAAGCAAACGTGATGCTGATCTGCATTCATTCAAGGGAGTGTAGTATCCGTTGCTGTTATGGTTCTGGCTAATGAAACACTTCAAAGAACTTCCAGGCATTGATTTTCCTAAAAGTCATTTATTGTTACAAAATGTCGACACAGGCATAACGGAGGATTGTTTATGCTAAGATCTAAGTTCTCTTTCTCTGAGCAGCTAATTTATTAGTATGTTCCCTCCCTAAATTAACTGTCATATATCACATTATCCAATTAGTGTGGAGATCAAAGGTTTCCTTTCTCTCCCAGGCTTTACCCCCACCCCCCCCCTTCTGCTCTGTATTAACCCCATAAATACCAGACAGTTCTGCATATTGTCAAAAGCAAGAATATACAATATTTGCAGCGTTGACATCTGCATTTAAGTTAAAAGCATCCTATGTACTCTTTTTCATATCAGGAAGAATGCATGAAAGGGATGATGGAATTAGTGCGAAGCTGGGTGGTCCAGAGCCCCTATCACGTGGTGTGGCTGAACTGCAAAGCAGCTTATGGATATGAGTATTTATTCACAAATCTCAGCGAAGAGCTTGGGATGAAGGTAAGACCACCTCCCTAGGTGATTCCTTTCTGAACAGGAAACGTGTAGACTTCAATTCCCAGAATTCCTCAGCTAGCCCTGGGGGAAGTCCACACATCTTAATAGCAATAGCCCTTGGACTTATATTCTGCTTCACAGTGCCTTACAGCATTCTCTGGGAGGTTTACAGAGTCAGCATATTGTCTCTCCCCGCCACCAACAGTCTGGGTCCTCATTTTACCGAGCTGGGAAGGATGGAAGGCTTGAGCTGGCCAGGATCGAACTCCTGGCAGTGAGGCAGTGCAATGCTGCATTCTAATTGCTACGCCACCCCAGCTCTTGGTTTAAAGTTGCTGTTCTGTCCCAGCCTATGGCCATCCTTGTTAAATGCACAAGGACAAAATCCCTTTTGAGAAATAGGCTGGAGACTCAGAAGAAAACAAAACCCCTTTTAATATTGGTAACAAACCTGCCAAATGGTCCAGAAACAAAAGCAACAAAACACAATCCAAATGGAGGAAATTGTCCTCACGAAACACAGTGCAAAACAGGGAATTAGTCCCCATAATACCAACAGAACATGATCCCATGAAGTACTTTGCAACGGTTGCCTTCATCAACCAGCACCGCCTACACCTTCCCTTTTTATTAAACAGCGCCAAGGCATGGCTTCTCAATGCCTTCTCCTCCTCCCTTGGAGTTGCTGTATTGTCTCCCTCTGACCTGCTCTGGTTAACTGCCTTCATTTACGAGCGTCTAAATGACTTCCAGCTGTGAGTCCTCAGAGTCTGACTCATCTTCCCCACACAGCTGAGTTTCATCTGGAGCACGATTGGAGGGGCCAGGCTCTTCATTCGATTGTGAGTCCTGGAGCTCATTAGAGCCTTCCTCCGACTCTGATGGCTCTCCAAACCCCTCCTCCTCTGATTCCCCGGACTCAGCTGCCGGGTCCACTGCCTGGCATGGACTCACAACAGTTGCCAAGGTTTGGAAACATTGTCCTGTATGATCAATCAGAGGCAGTCTTGAAATTCTCAACATAGAATATGAACATAGTAGTGCTATTTCAAGATTTTTTTCTTCTTAGCAGTTGATTTTTAAGACATGCTTCTTGGGTGTTTTCTGCCTCAAGTGTTCAAGTTGACAATATTTTACCAATAGAAGAGAATATTTGTAGCTTGGGTTTGAACTGAGGGATCTTTGGTGCTCTCTGAGGTGGATGGTTTTCTTGCAGGGCCTTCATTTACCCAGAGGCTGTAGCACTGATGATGTTCCCTATTTGGGTAATTAAACATCTGCAAGAAAACAAACTCAGAGAGCATCACGCTTTGTTTTGCAACGACAAGCTTTAGGTTACCTTGGCCTCGATCACTTGCATTTCAAAAACAAGTTCCATAGGGTGTTTTTTTGAGTCCAGGGGATGAAAACAAAGTTATGGCTGATTCAGTAACCTGCCTTTGAGTTCTACATTACATTCTACATTCTCCATCAATTCAGAGGAGGAACCGAGAAATTCTCTTCCAGTAATTGTCAATGCTGCTAACATCGGATGTTTTTGCTTTGACAACATATGGAGTTGCAACCATTTTCCTTGTGTTTTACTCTTAGAATTAGAGTTATAATTAGATGATACTGGGGGGAAGAGGAGGAATGTGCATGGGAGTTTAGTTAGACATAACAATACTGTAACTAGTGTGGGAACCAAGGTTATTGAAATAAGAGATGGTAAGAATTGGCTGGGTTAGAGAACTGGAGGGAAAGCCTGCATTTCAAACTAATTGGAGAATGTGATTTATGACTGTAAATTAGAGGAAGGAATTGTGCTTTGATACTATGTGCTCAGGGGAGGGGAATTCAGATTTTGGCTTTGACTATGTAAGTGCCAATGTTATGCTGCTCGAATAAAGATTCTTTAACAATGCCTCAAAGTTCTTTGAAGAGTTTCATCTGTTGGAACCATGACAGTAATTTGCTGAAAAAGGATTGCAAAGTTTCTCTCTTGTCTCTCAGTTGTCTAAAGAACCTTTTTATGAACCTCTTGGCCTAGGTGCATGTGAACAAGTTGGACATGTTTAAAAACATGCCAGAAATCCTCTACCACGTCACCACAAATCGGCATACTCAGATTCACGCGTGTCGCCATCCCAGGGTACGTATCTTCTTTAAAAAGAATGAGAGTTGCTTCCTGTCAATTTACTAAAGTGGTCCTTCTGGTAGAAAAAAATCCCAAAGGGGCTTTTTTCACGAGGCAACTGGACTTTCTTGTTTTTCTTGGAAGATGTTTCCGCTTCAAAGAACTGGAGAAGCTTCTTGGATAAGAAGTGAAATGTCTTCCAAGCAAAACAAGAAAGTCCAGTTGCCTCATGAAAAAAGCATCTTTGGGATAACTATGACCTAGATCAGTGATGGCGAACCTTCTGGAGACCGAGTAACCCGTCACAGATTGCCCAGGCAGCCCAGCAGCACCATGGTGGCCACGCCCTCTGCCCACGCCCCGCAGCATCAACTGTGCGCAATGGGGTGTCAGGGCAGAGTCTTGTCTACGCTGCCTGGCTGCCATGTCCTTGGCTGCGCTGCTCCGCATGGACCATGCTCAAGAGTGACTCTCCTCCAGGGGGGCTGCTGGTGAGGAGGGGGTCGTGGGGGAGGCAAGGCTGGGACAACGGCACGTGAGCCCACAGAGAGGGCTCCGCGTGCCGCCTCTGGCACACGTGCCATAGGTTCGCCACCACTGACCTAGATGACTGAGAACCTCCATAGACATTTAGTGATGATGAAATGAAAACCAATCATTAACCATGCTATGAGGCCATTATTGTACTAATATCCCAAAGGTGCTTCTTTGTTTTTGTTTTTCAAAAAGGAATCGGACTGTTTTTTTCTTTGAAGACATTTCGCTTCTTCCAGAACTTCTTCAGATGAGAAGCAAAACATTTTCAGAGACAAAAACCAGGGAAGCCCTTTTGGAAAAAGCATTTTGAATATAAAAGGGAAATTAAGCTTAAACAAAACCAACCAAAATAAGATGCAGGGTGAACTAATGAGATGATGGTCATAGGAATAACATAAGCTGATAAAAAAAAGGTTATACATAGAGATTATTATTATTTGTATAAATATAAAAAAAGTCTTATGTTTAATCATTCACATACCGAAAATATTAAGAATTACATTTTGTTTAGGATTGACGAAGGAAAATACAAATGGGAGAAGGGAAGATCAAAGAAATATATTATTAATAAATATACTAATTATGGGATTATCAAATTTAATCGTTACTGATGTTAATCGATTATCATTGTCTTTTTTTTCTTCTTTTTAAAATGTAAACCCAGACAACACGCTGTGCACCAGGCACTGGAGATTATCATTGTTAAACACCAATAATATATACACACACACACACACACACACACACACACACACACACAAAGGAAAAAGTGTTTTTGGGACATCCAGGACCTGGATGATTGAGAATCTTCATAGACTTTTAGCCAAGATTTGACAGGGTGTTATCTGTCCATTAGGATTACGAAATGTTCCGCGGAAACCGGCTGCCTTGTGGAATGATGTCTCAGAATGGAAATGAGTTGCGTGTTATCAGTGTCAAGCCATCGACTATGTGGTTTGGAGAAAGGACACGGAAAAGCCAGGTGATCATGAGGTGAGGGTAGGGTACATTTTAATTTCCTCAAATTAGCATTAGAAGATTTTCAGCTCAGGGTTGAACTTTTGAGATCCTTGGTGCTTTATGAGCTTGGTGGTTTTCTTCCAGGCATCTCATTACCCAACTAGGGAATGGTGTTAGAAAGTGCAAACATCACTCCCTTGTAGCCCTGATGATGTTACCTAGTTGGGTAATGAGATGCCTGGAAGAAAACCACCAATTTAGAGAGCACCAAGGACCCCTATTTCCTGGCAAATAGATGGGGAAGAAATGGAGGTAGTGACAGATTTTATCTTCCTGGGCTCCAAGATCATTGCTGATGGGGACTGCAGCCAAGAAATTAAAAGACGCTTGCTCCTGGGGAGGAAAGCTATGGCAAATCTAGACAGCATACTAAAAAGCAGAGACATCACCCTGCCAACAAAAGTATGTATAGTCAAGGCCATGTTTTTCCCAGTTGCAATGTATGGCTGTGAAAGCTGGACCATAAGAAAGGCTGAGCGCCAAAGAATGGAGGCCTTTGAACTATGGTGCTGGAGAAGACTCCTGTGAGTCCCCTGGACTGCAAGGCGATCAAACCGGTCAGTCCTAGAGGAGATCAACCCCAACTGCTCTTTAAAAGGCCAGATCCTGAAGTTGAAACTCAAATACTTTGGGAACCTATTGAGAAGGAAGGACTCACTGGAGAAGAGCCTCATGCTGAGAAAGATTGAGGGCAATAGAAGAATGGGACGACAGAGAATGAGGTGGCTGGATGGAGTCACGGAAGCAGTAGGCGTGAGCTTAAATGGACTCCAGAAGATGGTAGAGGATAGGAAGACCTGGAGGAACATTGTCCATGGGGTCGCGATGGGTCGGACACAACTTCGCAACTAAACAACAAGGACCCCACAAAATTAGCATTTTATCTCTATTTCTCTCTCATTGATACTTTTCATAGCAACCTAAGAAGCATTCATTTGGCACTTCTTTTATTATCAGTTAACCTAAGTAAGGTCTAGTTCAGAGGCGTCAAACTCGCAATGTCACAGCTTTTTTGCCATTGCTGGCAATGGGGTGGATGCGGTTTCGCTATGATGCATCCAGCCCGCAGGCCACCAGTTTGACATCCCTGGTCTAGTTGAAATAATTTCGCTTCATTTCCAGCTGTTTCTTTTGCTATTCTGGGGTGCAGTTCAGGTGGTTCTAGTAATTTAAATTGATTCAGAGCAAAAAGGGCTTCTATTTTTCTTTCTCATTTCATTCTGCTCTTTACAATATACACAGGGTTTATTTCTATTTGTGGAGAAGGCAGAATGTAAAAGGGGATTTTTTTTTTTTTGAATGCGTCACTTGTACAAGTGCTGATATCTAGGAGTTTTAGAGAATGCTAAGCATAAAAATTGCCCTGAAAAAAAGATTTAAAAGATTCCAAGTGCAGGCTAGTGATGGATGTTTTTTTATGGTTCATCCTTGCATCTTCTTTTTTTTTTTAATAATATTTTATTAATTTTTCAATTTTACATTTAAGTATTTAAAAAGCAGCGTGGTGACCGGGTTAATCAATAGTTCAATAACAAAATCTTTAGTACAAATCTCAAGTTGCAACATCAAATATTTCTTCTCTTTTTCCCTTAACATTTACTGTCTTGTATTCAAACTAGTACAGTTCTTATTATATCAACTCAATAAAAACATCATTATTGCATTTATCAATAAATTTTTAGCTTGTACGTATCTTAATGACATTCAATCTTCATAAACAATCCATATCCTGTTATTAATTTTTACCCAATTTTTAGGTTCTCATCAAGATTCCAACTTAACCTTTGATATTTATAATTTTCAAGCCTTAGGTAACCAAGATTTCCCTTGTCTCAGTTCGTAACAAAATCTAATATCCAAAATACATATTTTATCTATTTGAATGTAATCTTGTTCTATTTCCTAAGAGTTATCTATTTCCCACCATATTAAATCATCTATTTAATAGCATATCCCCTTTAATAAATCAAGATCATTATGTATATTACCTGGGTTAATCAATAAATCAAATATTCATAATAATTTTCTTTTTTCTTTTAGGTTTAATTTTTAAGTATTAAAAAGTCCTTATTTTCCACTAATTTCCAAGTATTTTAAATCTAATGACCAGAATTCTCCTTATCTTAACTTCTCCCTTTAACCCTCTAATTAATAATATGAAATCCCCTCTAATAAGTCAAAACCCCAATTTTCTTCAACCTTATTCTGGCTTTCTTCCTTTGCCAACTAGCCTTCCATATCAGTGCTTTTAGTCGTCAAATAGATCTCCCTCTATTATTATATATGTTAGAAGTGCAGGATCCTTGAACATTGATAAGGTGAAGCTTGTTAGGAGAGCCATTAGTAAACAGCCCAACCAAAGAATCCCTAAGACTGCCCCCACCCATCCAGACACGACACCAGAATATAAACTGACAGACAACAGCACTCCTTACTAGCACTGATGACGTTACCTAGTTAGGGTAACGAAACATCTGCAAGAAAACAAGCTCTGAGAACACCAAGTACTGCTCAGTTTTTCATCCAGAATCAAGTTCCTTTTACTTCCGAATGTCATAGACTGACTAAGATTCTGTTAGAAGATGTAAGCTTTAGAAGAATCTTCTCTAGTCTTCCAGATGTGCGTTCAGTTATGGTCCTGAAGGGGACATCACAATTCCTTCAGAAGGACAGGGGCTTCAGCAAGATGGCTGTAAAGAGCATTCTCTTATTCCTTAGAACGGATTTGTGGGCATATGATTTTCAGCTTTTGTTTTTTCAGCGGTTTTAATCTTGTTTTGATCAACAGCAGAGGAAATGAATTTAATTTATGCCTTGTGTTTAGGGCCGGAACGAGTTCCTACAGAGCTTGCTTTTCATTTCACTCTTCTTATGGCGAGGTACGTAGTTCCAGTTTTGTTTTGTTAAATGACGTTCCCTGTACGACACAATTGCCATTGGCAAAGGTTTTATTTATTTGATTTACACGCATCCCCATCTCGCCTTCTGAAAAAATCATTGTGGACACACTGCGAATTACAAGTAGCCAGTTTGTGACCACAGTTGAGCCCAAACTTTCTGTCGTTAAGTGAGACATTTCTTAAAAGAGTTTTGCCCCATTTAAGTGAATCGCTGCAGTTGATAAGTTAGTAACCCGGTTGTTAAGGAATCCAGCTTCCCCATTGACTTTGTCAGTCAGAAGGTCACAGAAGGGGATCACGTGACCCCCCCCCGGGATATATCAAAGGTCATAAATATGAAACAGTTGCCAAACATCTGAATGTTGATCCCCTGACGATGGTGTCATGGAAAAAACCAATGAAAAAGACGAGAGACAGCAACACAAAACAATAGTTCTTACTTTAAGATTCAGAGGTTTATTTTGCTAATAATTTGGAACATAGCAAGCATAATAACACAACATCACTTACATTAATAACCCATTGCAATGAGGACCATATGGCAGAGCAGATTCCAAAAGGACAGCTATAGGCCAATAGCAAATCAGTCAGGTCCAGTCCCGATCCTTTATACCCTTTCTCATTCTAACACTGTAGGCAGAGGGTCCACTGACTTTTGCTGACCTCTGCTGACTTTTTACTGATCTCCTGCTGAACATAACTTTCCACATACATCCGTGTACATTGGAACCCGCATCCATCAGCTACTTTCAGCTCCCTATTTCTTACTGTTCCAGTCCTTATGTTCCAAATATACACAGAACTACCTACTTTGCTATTAATACCACTTTACAACGCTTTGGTAAGGCCACACATGGAATACTGCATCCAGTTTTGGTCACCACAATTAAAAAAGATGCTGAGACTCTAGAAAGAGTACAGAGAAGAGCAACAAAGGTGATTAGGGGACTGGAGGCTAAAACATATAAGGAACGGTTGATGGAATTGGGTATGTCTAGTTTAACGAAGAGAAGGACGAGGGGGGACATGATAGTAGTGTTCCAATATCTCAGGGGCTGCCCCAAAGAAGAGGGAGTCAAGCTATTCTCCAAGGTGCCTGAAGGCAGGACAAGAAGCAACGGGTGGAAACTGATCAAGGAGAGAAGCAACCTAGAATTAAGGAGAAACTTCCTGACAGTTAGAACAATTAACCAGTGGAACAACCTGCCTCCAGAAGCAGTGAATGCTCCAACACTGGAAGTTTTTAAGAAGAGACTGGACAGCCATTTGTCTGAAATGGTGTAGGGTTCCTACCTGAGCAGGGGGTTGGACTCAATGACCTCCAAGGTCCCTTCCAACTTTATTATTATGGATCATCGCACAGTCAGCCAGATGTTCAGACTGGATTTGGCATTTTGTCTACCTATCGAGTCCTTACCCAGGACCTGGGATAGGCAGATGTGGATGTTTGATGGTATTACAGATATCGTCGCAGGATGGAAGCAGTTCCTAGTAAGGCCACCTTTTGCAATTGACTAATAGCGAATTTGTCAATGTCAATGGTGTTGTTGTTGTTGTTATTATTATTATTATACGTCCGTATTGTGAAACAATATAGAGTTTGAGTTAAAGCTTTGTTTTAAATCACTACTGTGAGGGCCTACCTCAGGATTGTTCCCACTTCATCTTGTTATATGAGGAGGGGGCTATATTTTCATCTCCCACGATGGGGATGCTACAAAGGTCATAAATGTGAAAAATGTTCATAGATTTTTCAGGAGGCAACTGGATTGTCTTGTTTTGTTTTTTTTTAAAGACATTTCGCTTCTTGTCCGAGAAGCTTCTTCAGCTTTGAATTTGTTCTGAAAGAGCTGAAGAAGTTTCTTGGATGAGAAGCGAAACGTCTTCAAGGAAAAACAAAGGAAGTCCAGTTGCCTCCTGAAAAAAGCACTTTTGGGACAACCATGATCTGGATGACTGAGAGTCTCCCTAGACATCGGTCATAAGTCACATTTTTCACTGCTGTTGTAACGTTGAACGGCTGCTAAACAATCTGTTGTAAGTCTAGCTGTACTTCTCAAACTGTTGTAAATCATGATACAAGAAATGAAGGTGAGGCATTAAATATTATCAATGCATCTTTTTTTTCCCCTCCTCAATCCGCTGTTCTAGATCCAAGATTTCCTGAGCTACGTTTGCCCAGTGAATGTCTACCCCAATGTAATTCCACTGGGATCAAACAAGGAACGAGTTGAAGAAAAGTAAGGGTTCTTCCCCCCCCCCCCCATAATACAAATAGTGTTCAACTTACAACTGGTCAGCTAGTGTGCAAAATTACAATGGGCCTCCCTGGGAAGCTATTCACAATCCCAAATTTGAAGTTCCAATGATTGGTCATCTCCCCCCCCCCCATAGTTGCTGATCAAATTTTGGGTGCTCAGCAACTGGGCTACATTTATGCCCATTTGCCGGGTCCGACGGTCATGTGACTGCATTTCATAATGTTTTTTTCTGAAAACTACTGCAAAACAGTAACAAAGTGTTGGTTCGGTTTACGACTTCTGTGTTTCCTTAATCGACCTCTGCAAAAAAAAAAAAGGGGGAGACAGAGAGAAAGTTGGCTCGGTCATTTTACGTTCATCACAAATTGCAACCGTGATGGGAAAGCTCCATAACAATTCTTAAGTTGAGGACTATCTGTATTGGAATCCACATCAAGCTGACCTACATTAAACTCTTCATTGGATAGCTCCATCAAAAATACTTTGATAATGGCGTGCCACTTTTTCAGATAAGGGTAGTTTTTGCAAGCCAAATGGCTTGACTCCAAAATCAGAGTATCCAGATATAATCTAAATTTGATTAAATTTATCTAAAATTAAGTAAGACAATGTGATTTGTTTCCAGTTCAGTACATTTTGTGTTTTCCCCCTTCCGTCCCCTTTAAAATTTTCATTTTGTTAAGTTGTGCCATTTTTTTAATTATAAATTTTATTGACAATTACAACTACATAATTGAAAAGCAATGTGGCGACTGAGTTACAATAATCCAATTACATACAAATATGATTGGTACAAACCTCAACCTAATACAGTAAATATTTCCTCTCTTTTCCTCTTATTGTCTCATATTTGAATTAACACAATTTTTATCCTAATAATCACATAGAAGCAACTTTCTTGCATTTTTTCAATATATATAATAATATATATATTATTTATATTAACATTCAATCTTTTTGACAACCAATAGCCTAATGACTTTTCCCCAAATGAATAATACAGTATAATATTTTTATTTTCTACTGATTTCCAAATAAATTAATAACCAAAATTTCTTTTATTTCAATGTTTAATGTTCTGCCATTTTTAACTCTCCTCAGCCTGAAGCCCTTCTGCAGAATGTACAGGCAAAATAACGGGCCCACATATAAACCTCTCGGCGTGTTGAAGAGATCAAGAGCCTTGGAGCTGCTGGACACCAGTAAGATGAAAGGATGCCTTCCTAAATTTTTTTTTTAATTTTTTTTTAATTTTTATTTTTAACCAACAAGACAAAACAGAACAAAGCAAAACATAACACACATCTTTTTTTTACAGCAATTGCGTAACGGTAATCTATTATTTACATTTCCCCCTTATTCTTCTTTAAAATATTTGTCCTTATAGCCCCATTATTTCTTATTTACATTTTTCTTCCTTCATGTTCTACTTCTTATTAAGAATAATTCATATTATTATTATACATTATTCTAATTTTTTTTATATGTACAGATGGACTTTGACTTACAACAGTCCGTTTAGTGACTGTTCGAAGTTACGACATCACAGAAAAAAATGACTTACCACCATTTTTTCACACTTAATGACCGTTGCGGAAACCCCATGGCCACATGATTTACATTCAGACGTTTGGCATCTGACTCACATTTATGATAATTTGCAGCATCCCGGAGTCACGTGATCCCCTTTGGCAACTTTCTGACAAGCAAAGTCAATGGGGAAGCCAGGTTCACTTCACGACCTTGTTACTAACTTCACAACTTCAGTGATTCCCTTAACAATTGTGGTGAGAAAGTTCTCAAAATGGGGCAAAACTCACTTAAGAAAGTGTCTTGCTTAGCAACATAGGTTTGGGGCTCAATTGTGATTATAGGGGTAGGGAACCTCGGCTCTTTTATGACTCGTGGCCTTCAACTCCCAGAATTCCTGAGCCAGCCATGCTGAGGGGAAAGAGAGAGGCTTCCAAGCTGAGCCATGCTGGCTCAGGAATTCTGGGAGTTTAAGTCCACGAGTCATAAAAGAGCCAAGGTTGCCTACCCTGTAGTGCTAGTTAGGGAATTTTGGGAGTTGACGTCCACATATCTTAAAACACGGTTTTAGACATAACCTTTTATTAATCTGATTTTTGCCTCCACCTTTTCTCCCGTATACCTTATTCCAGTTTCCCCCCCACAGCCCTGTGTGATGGGGTTGGGCTGACATGATGACTGGCCCCAAATCACTTCATGAGTTTCTGTGGCAGAGGCTAAATGAGAAACTGAGCCTCTGCAAGACCCACCAATACTTTAGTTACCAACCATTCAGTTTCCCCTATCCAGGAGAATCCTGAGCTGCTGAATGCTGAAAGCTTGCAAACTCAAAAATTCCCCCCATGCAGAAAATTAGCACGGTTGAATGAGGGTTTTGAGCAACCAAGATTAGGTTCTGAATTAATCCTGAGAAAGATTTTTTTTTAAAGATTAATTTGCTTTTGGTTTTTGTTTTTGACAGATGGTGGTGGGAGCGATGATGAGGATCTCTTTGATTCCGAACGGATTCCACACAAGAACAAGATTCCCAAATTACTGCCAGAGACTGGACCCACGGAGGGCAAGCCGCTTCCTCCAAATCTTGAAGACAATAGTTGTAAAGCCGCTCCGATTCCTACCTCTTTACAGGTTGATTTTGTGGAGTGTGACGAATCTAATAGCGAGGACGAGGACGAGGTAGAGGAGGAAGGACACGAGAAGGAGACAGCTCTTCCAGAAATTCCATTACTCAGGACAGACTCCATTGCAGCGTTGAGGCACCCCAACAGCCTCGTGGGTTCAACCAGGAAGCCCAATGAAGACCAACAGCAAGCTAACTTGGAAGTCCCAAAATGGGATAGTTTCTTCAGACGTCCTTCAGAAGATCCAGAGACCTCTGACCATGAGGACCACCAGCCATGCACAGACTCAACCGAGCAGCATTCTCCTTGCCCTTACGATGACGACGACGATCTGAGTGACTCAACTCATATCTCTTCTCAAAATTCTTCTCAGTCAACCCATATATCTGAACAGGGTAGCCAAGGATGGGACAGTCAAGCCGATACCGTCCTCGTTTCTTCCCAAGAGCGAAGGAATTTTGAGTTTAGCCCTTCCAAGGGAGGAGCTGAAAGAAGGACGACCCACGTACCTCATCTCCTTGCAAAGAAAACGGACTTGCCAAATAGCCAGCCTTTAGATCGTGGGGCACCTTCTGCAGATCCCTTGGAATGCAAAGTCAGATATTGGGGCACAGCAGCTCCCGGTCAAACGGAACCATTAGATGAGAGGACCAAACCAGAAGGCAGGCCGGAAATGCTCAATCCAGAGGTCCAAATTGACTCCCAGGGCTCTTCAGATTTTGAAGTCCCACCTACTCCCGGGGCCGAGATTCCTAAACCAGAGCAGCTCTCCAGCCTGTATCAAAAGCTGGCAGCTGGAGAAAATTTCCACTGACCGGGAAGGAGCAACAGGACCTAGAACCTTTTTTTAGCATTCTAGTCTGCCTCCCTAAATATTAATTAGTGCCCAATTTTAAGGTTTTATTGAAAAAGCTGGTGGCAGGTCCAGATGCATAAACTGACACTTTTTTTTCACATCGTTTGAGGTTAACACCGAAATGGGGAAGGTATCTATGCAAGATCTGCCCACATAGGAATACTGAAAGCCAGTATTCATCCAATGATTTTTTTAAAAAGGCATTGCGTTTTAGGTTCTAAATCAGTGGTTCTCAACCTGTGGGTCGGGACCCCATTTGGGGTCGAACGACCATTTCACGGGGGTCGCCAAACAACGCAGTCCGCCATTTTCCCCCCCTTTTCCTTAGCTGTGCTACTCCCTTTTATTCTATTGGCTTTTGAAAGCTAATAGAATTGACTCTCTTGAATAGAGTCTAATTCTATTGGCTTTCAAAAGCCAATAGGAATTGTCCAGGCTGTCTCTGCCCTGCTGAGCCTGCCAAAAGTCCCATTCTGCAAATGGTGCTGCACCAGTTGAGTAATCCTCGACTTACGACCGGTTGAGTAGTCCTCGACTTATGACCGGTTGGGGGTTGCGGCATTAAAAAGTTTGAGAACCACTGTTCTAAATGAACATATGATGTTTTTTTTTCTTCAAAATGACTCGCCGGATGTTAATGTGAAGCATTTGGGCATCTGTTGCAACAAGAAAAGAAATGGAAGCCCAGGGGACATTTTTGTCGTTCCATCTTTTCATCGCCACAAGAGGATAAGCCTTATTTCTGAGGCTTTTCATGGCTTTCCTGCACTTTGGAGCCCATCAGCTGTAGCTAGACCAGGGGTAGACAACCATGGCTCTTTTATGACTCGTGAACTTCAACTCCCAGAATTCCTGAGCCAGCATGGGGGAACTATGTCCCCTTCATGACTTGTGGACTTCAACTCCCAGAATTCCTGAGCCAGCACAGGGGAACTATGGCCCCTTCATGACTCATGGACTTCAACTCCCAGAATTCTTGAGACAGCCATGCCATTCCAAGCTGGCTCAGGAATTCTGGGAGTTGAAGTCCACGAGTCATAAAAGAGCCAAGTTGCCTACCCCTGAGCTAGACCAATCAAGGTTAGCAGCCTTGAGCTTATTGTTTTAGCAGTGTGCAGTTGGCAAAAATCCATGCTTTGTTCCAGTTTTTTACTCAGTAGCCCATCAGATGTTTAGTTCTACCAGGACTAATTAGATTCTGTTCTTGACACATCTAAAGATGCATCTTCCACAGCTTAAGTTTTTCTTCCACTGGCTGTTGATGAATTCTGAAGATTCCTCTCTTCATAGTCCCTGGCCTGCTGCCTTCACCCCAAAATTGCCAAGCTTAGACCTTTGGGCTGAGCTCTTTGGCCTGCAGGCAGGACAACCCCTCCCCCCCCAATTTTATTTCCATGTAATGGCTACCATTTTCTAGTATTACGTTCTGAGGTTTCCAGATCTTGAATGGCAAGAAAAGAATGGGCCTGCTGAATGCCTTCCCATGTACAAATGTCACTATGGTATTTAAGGAGCTGGTTCTCTCCCTCTGCTTTACTAATGGATCAAGGACCACTGTGTGATAATCCTGCCTATGTTAGGTGGGACCTCTCTGCCTTTTTCTTCTACGGTTTCTATCACATGCTCAAAGCTTGTTTCTCCTGCCTTTAAATCATCTCACCAGACAGGCATCAAAACTTCTCTATTAACCAACATTAACAGAGGCGTGATTGACTGATGTCAAATTCTTTTCTACAATACACTTATGTTCATCCATAAAATTCATTTGTTCATATATCTTCTGTGTTTTGTTGTCTGTGTGCAGTTCTGACTTTTTTTCCCCGTGTTATTTGTGGCCTATTGTTATATGAATGAAGTAATACTCAACAAACTCCCAGGATTATGCCTGTATGAAACTTGAAGTGATTATTAAGCTTATGAACAACCTTTTAATGTACTGTAACAAGGGTTTAATCATGCAAAAACCAAAAACCCATTAACCCATCCTCATGATCATGAGTCACTCAGAATACAATTTCTAGTTACAGTAGTGGCCAAAATTGTGGAAACCTTCTGGGAAAAGTGTTCAGTAGAAATGCCACTAATTGTTCTTCTATTTTTTTTTATAACTGTAGCCTTGTTCACTTAATAATACTATTTTACATCGCTTTCTGGGCAACCAGTCAACTCTTTGCACCACTACTTTAATTTTACAAGCTCACTAAATGAAAAAACACAAAAAAACCCCAACCAACTTAATAGCGATCACATAACACACTGACAAATGTCCTCCTCTCAGCTTCAATACATGACATCAGTAACTGAATCCTACTGTGATCTGATTGGCTCTCTAAACACTCACACTCATTGGCTACAATCAGATGAAGGAAAGCTACCTGGTATCAACCTAAGCAAGTTGTGCTTCCTTTTTCTGGTTATTTGACTATAACTTTTCATAGAATACAGTACAGATAATCAAACAAACTTTGTTGCATTACATTCTTGATTAAATTATCTTTCCATTGATATATAATTTTATGGTACCACTCCAAAAAAAAAAGTGTTATTAGCCATCCAACCTCAAAAATAGACATTTCCCAAAAGGTTTCCACAATTTTGGTCACTACTGTAGTTGTTTTTAACAAGTGATTTCAGTCACCAACGATGGCCTTATGATGAATATAAAAACATAAGTGTTTATTATTCACAAGTAACAGAATAGATTCTCGAATGTACACGGTTCACAAACAGAAATGAAGCCAATTTGCCATTATGGGTTTGCAGGTATGTGTACGTTTCCATTAAAACAGTTTACAGTTCATAGTGAAGATGCCCAGCTATTATCGGATCCTCTGAAGAATGAGACCCAAAGCTGTGTGTGAAAATAAAATTTATTATAACTGAGAAAGGGGGCTTTCTAATCATGCCTGTGAGGCCACTTCCACAGTGATGGCTTCGGATTTTCCAGTGTCTTGATCTGTGCAGGTTACGTGTAATGATCCGTCCCTGAGAAAAAAAAGAAATTTTATCATCACTTCCTAAACATTTAGATCAGGGGTGTCCAACTTTGGCCACTTTAAGACCTGTGGACTTCAACTCCCAGAATTCCCCAGCCAGCAACAGCAATGGTGTATGGATCAGCATAAAACATTTGGTTAAACTTTAGGGTCCCAGAAATTGGTGTGAGAGGGAACGAAAGAATGACACTATATTGTATACATGGCTTTTATATATATGTTAATTCAGGAAGGGCCTCATTATTATTCATTTCTTAAAAGCAACAGTCTCCTAGGAACTGTTCACCCATGCAAGGATGTTGCAGCTGAAAGGAGGACCACCACAGGTAGCTCTTGACGATCATCCGTTGTAACGATGGTTTGCAGTTACAACAGCCATAGAACAAAAGTTTTGTGGCTTACAGAGCATTTCTGGGCTGTTATACAATGTGGCACTCTTCTCCCTCCAGTCATGTGACCCTGTTTGTACTTATAACTGGTTGTCAAGTGCCCTGTGAGCATGTTCTAGACCAGGAGTCGGCAACCTGAAACACTCAAAAAGCCACTTGGACCTGTTTTCCAGAGAAAATACCGGGAGCCGCAAAACTTGGGTGCGCAAGGGAGGGGGGCTTGATTGAAGAGTTTAATTAGAAATAGAGGCTGCTGTGCATGAGTTCTCTCTCTCTCTCCCTCCCTCCCTCTCCCTTCTCTCCCCCCCTCTCTCCAATCTTCTGCCCACCTGGCAAACTGGCTTCACGCTGTTCTCCAAGCTGACACACATTCTTATTGGGCTGGCTCTCTCCTGTCCTTGTTCTGCCAGTCCTCTTCCCCCACTCAGTGTGTGTGTGTGTGTGTGAGAGAGAGAGAGAGAGAGAGAGAGCGCTGCTACTTCCTGCAGAGACGCAGCAAAGGCAGGAGCCCCGCCCAATAAGCTTGTCAGCTTGTTCGAGAACAGCGTGAGGCCACTCTCTTTTTTACACACACACACACACACACACACACAAAGACAGAGAGAGAAGGGAAACACAAGTACCCCCCCCTCTGCAAATGACGGAGGAGGCTAGGAGCTGCAGGAGAAGGCTCAAAGAGCCACATGCGATTCTGGAGCCACGGATTGCCGACCCGTGTTCTAGACTGAGCATCCATGTCATCTTTCCAGAGGGGAGCAGCATGCCCATTCAAAATGTAAGAGGGAGTGAAATTTGAACAGGAAAATTAGAATTGCCCCATAAACCTCCACTCCAGGGTCCAGAATATATATATGTGTAGAATCTGTTATCTTCCCCCCACCACCCATAAATGTCAATATGAAAATCATCAAGTCCCGAGATGTAAAGTCCACAAATACTCATGGTTCTGACCCACAGAATAAGATTTTCGTTTTCAGTACCTCTTCATTGTAAGGATAGCTAATATATGATGCAGACCTTCTTCTTTGACATCTAAATCCTCGAGCACAATCTGTTAAAAACAAGCAACTACAAATATATCATTCAGCTAAAACAAGGTTTTGAAATTACTATTAAGGATGAAGTTTGCTTTAACCCTCCATTTGGACATCAGTACTTTTCACAGAGGTTTAAGGTCAACAGTAATGGAACTTCAGCAAGCTTATGCTGGAAAATTCCTTTTTTTTAATTTGGGGGATTTGAGATATCAGAGTCAAATCTTATCAGAAAAATATGAGGTACACAGCAAACCTTAAAAAAAAACCAACCCTAAATTTCTAAAAAAATCAAATAAGGCTATTTCCCCCCCTAAATATGTATTTCAATGGATATCCGTGTCCCCCCCAAGTGGAAAAACAGCCTTCATTTAAATCTTGCCCTCTCCCTGTGATATTACAAGACTGCAATCCTTAAAACAAATATATCCCCGTAACTAAACCCTAAATAGTAATGCTGAAATGTAAATAAATTGGAAGGAACCAAGGATGAATTTTTCTACAGAATAGCTTTGAAAAGCACCTATTTCCTGAGCAAATTTTGGGGGTCATTCTATACCAGATTCCAGTTCATAGATCTCAGGTTTCTAGTTAAAAAAAAAAAAAAAAAACATAATTCAAGCATGAACCTTGATCAATAAAATATTCATAGGCCTGTAAGGTCAAAAGTGAGCTTCATTGAAAACAGAAATTTCCTTCTGAGCAAATATATAAAGACACTGTAAAAATTAACACGCTTTTCTTCACCTGTGCAAATCTCTCGTCTTCTTTGACTGGACCTTTTTCTAGGGACTCGTACAATTCCAGACAGACAGAGGAAATTTCTCCCGGGGCCTCCAGAGTGTGTTGCCTTCGAGCTGGCAAAGGTGTTCCTGATGGGAACACCAC